GGGGGCGGGCGCACAAAGTCCTCTGAGTGACTCTGCTGCCCCGGGTACCCGTGTATCAAAATAAAAGCCTCTTGCTGTTTGCATCCGAATGGCCTCGTTGTTCCTTGGGAGGGGGTCTCTCAGACGAAAGATACCCTCCAGGGGTCTTTCAGATACAAGGGGCCAAACAGCACCAAAGCGTAGGGAGCCCGGATGTTCCCGCGGTTAGCTGCCTTTGCAACAGTGCAGCAGTCAAAAAAAAAATAGAGTTCAGAATCGTAGGAAAAGTCTGCTTAGCAAAGCTCCTCCTTCTGCTTCCATCCCCATCTTCCTTCCACCGCATCGCGGTTGCCAGCGGGGCCGCCTTCTGATCTCTGCATTCTGGTTCCCAGAAATGAACAGTCACGGGCATCTTACTTTCTATCCTTACATACAAGGCAACAGGCGCCACACATGCTGCTGGCACTTTACTTCGCTTTTCTCTCTTTGGAAAAATAACAATTGTTTATTAGGCGTGTGGATGAATGGTGGTGGTCGAAGGCACTGGGTCAGATTACAGTTTATTAACTAATTAATAAATTTTGTTGTAATTAATAGTTTTTGTGCCTGGCACAAAAAATTTTTTTTGAAGTTACACTTTGGTCGGTGATGGTGCACACCTTTAATCCCAGCACGGGAGGCAGAGGCAGGTGGATCTCTAATTATGAGGCCAGCCTGGTCTACGTAGTGAGTTCTAAGACAGCCAGAGCTACATGGTGAGACCCTGTCCAAACGACAAAACAAACAAACAAACAAACACCCCGCTTTTTAATTTCTTTTTTTTTTTTTCTCTTTGTAGCCTTGGCTGTCCTGGAATTCACTCTGTAGAGGAGGCTGGCCTTGAACTCAGAGATCCACCTGCCTCTGCCTCCAAGGGCAGGATTAAAGGCCTGTGCCACCACACCTGGCTTAAAAGCCACTTTCTACTAGCACCTTCTACAAGAAATGTTTTCCTTTGTTTACCCCACCTAAAGTATTAAAAATTTAGCTTCTTAATGGGGGGGGGGGCAAAATTAGATTTTTAAAAGCTCTCATCGGTCTCCATAAGGCAATGAAAACAAAGGTTCTTGATTTTAATACTCTCAGGAAGGCAGAGAATCTTTCAGGTGTCCACAATAAGATGTAAGGCTTTTTCCTCCACAGTCTACGGTTTCCCAGCTAATCATGAGACAGAAACGCAAACATACCCTTGATCAGACGAAGCTTTTCTTCTTCCGAAGGGGCATAAAACAGAAGGCTTATGCCTTGAAAACAATAACACTAGCAACAGCAATAACAAGATTTCAGTAATTTGATCAGACAGGTAATTCAAGCCTCAGGAGACTCCGTGAGTTTGAGGCCAGCTTGGGGATACACAGTGAAATTCCATCTTGGGGGAAATTTTTGTTGTTGTTAGAGTTTGGTGGCCCATGCCTTTGATCTCAGCCCTCAGGAGGCAGAGGCAGGTTGATCTCTGAGTCTAGCCTGGTCTACAGAGTGAATTCCAGGACAGCCAGGGCTACACAGAGAGATGCTGTCTTGAACACCCCATCCTTTGCCCCCCCCCCCCCAAAGAACTGGGCCAGTAAGGAAAACTCAGCCTTGGCTTAAAACTCCTCTCTGTTTCACTGGTTCACTGCACTTATTACCCCCACAGGTCCCCTCAGGTCCAGCCTGGTCTGGGAGTGTGTCCTGAACTCTCTCCCTATTCAAACCCCCTGTAATCTTATGCTCATGGCTGAAATCCACCATTGCACTCATATTTGCTCTCTATAAAACTTCTGAGCAATCCACCCACACCTGGAATCCCCAGTTGGATGCTGCTTGGAATATCCTGCCTAAAAAAAATAAATCCATTCCAGCCGGGGATGTGGAGGCGCAAGCTTTTAATCCTAGCACGGCAGAGGCTGGGCGAGTCTCTGTAAATTCGAGGTCAGCGTGGTGTACAAGAGCCAGTTCCAGGACAGCCAGGGCCATGTCTGGAAAAGCTACCTCTCTCTGGTAGTGTTCCCTGAAAAAGGGAATGGTGCCAGCCACACCCCCACTTCCAAGGGACTCAGGGAAATGCCACCCCCCACCCCCAATCAACCCAGTAACATCCTAACTTCATTCTCTCTCTCTGTCTCTCTCATTCCCTTTTGTTTTGCTCCAATCCAAATTCACAGGCCCTTGGGCAGTAGCTAAATTTTGTGTGGCTTTCTTGTTTTTGTTTGTTTGTTTGTTTGTTTTTGTGAGGACAAAGTCTTAGTGTGTCCACTGCCCAGACTCATGATCCTCCTGCCTCTGCCTCCCAAACACTGGGATTACAGGCGTGTGCCACTATGTCCAGATTCAAAAGCATACTACTAACCTAATTTTAATTTTGAGACAGAGTCACACAGTTTTAGCCCTCACCATCCAGGAACTCAACATATAGACCAGGATGGCCTTGAATTTCTGGCTTATTTCTCTTAAAAAAAAAAAATATATATATATATAATATATATATATATAATATATATATATTATTATTTTTTTTTACATTTATTTTTATGGTATGAGTGCTTTGGCTGCATGCATGTATGTTCATCACGTTCATGCCTGGTGCCCAAGGGAGTCAGAAGAGGGCATCCGGTCTCCCGGAACTGGAGCTACAGGGAATGAGTGCGCACACTCAGGTTGCGGCTAATAATGCGGAAAGCCTAAATTGTGTGGTGTGTGCACGTTGGCTTCAGTTTGCACAGAGAGGGGACACGGGTGGCCTTACAGGAGCCATCGATCCTGCTCTATGAAAGCCCACTGCTTTGGCCTGGAGGGATGGTGGAGCCTCTCCTGCGGACAGAGGCTGTGGCTCTGCCTTGCTCTGTCACCAAGCCTTTCTTCTGCTTCTTCACTCTCAAGTCAAAGAAGCTTGCTTGGCGGAAGTCTCGGATCGTGGTTTCCCCAGCACCCCTTTGGATCAACACTTGCTCAGACTGTAGGCTGGAGGTGTAGGGAGAGAAGGGCAGATACAATTTCTTTTAAAGGTGGTGACATTCAGTGGTTTCCCCATCAGGCCTAAGAAGGTCTGCTAAGGCGTGGTGGGATTGGATGAGCTTTGAGTTGGGAGGGTGCTGGGTGGGTGTGGCCTCGACTCCGCCCACTGGCTCAGAAGCCATAAAAGCTCCACGCAGCTCGTGTGGGATTGTGGCGTAGCGGTGTTGGGACCCTCGCCTGTGACGGCACCGGCCTTCCTTGGGTCTGAAGTTGTGTCTGGACCGGTATGGAGCAGGGCGATGAGTGGCAGGCTGTGCGCCAGTCTCCCACAGTGAGTCTGGGGTTTGTCCTGGAGGGCTACAGGTGGTGGTGGAGGTTGGAACGAAGGTGGAGGCTCTCTGGAGAGGGCGCAAGCCCAATGGCGGCTTGCTTGGTCTGTCAAGTATGTTCTCCATCGAGCTCGAGGCCTGTGTTGCCTGTTGAAGGTGGAAAGATTCAGTTTTGTAGAGAGGGATTTGGGCACCATGGAAGTGGTGGGGAGAAGCAATAAACTTATTTATTGGAGCTCTTTGCTAGACGCCACTGATTACAGCCTAAATTACTTTTGGGGTGGGGGTTGGGGTTCAAAGATGGTTTCTCTGTGTAGCCATGGCTGTCCTGGAAGTCTCCTGGAGACCAGAAACTTGAGTGACTGTAGAGAGGCATTGTAGAGAGGTGTGGGGAGGGAAATTTATTTATTGGACCCGTTTGCCAGACTCATTTATTTGGGGGAGGGGGTTGGGGAGTTAAAGATGGTTTCTCTGTGTAGCCCTGGATGTCCTGGAACTCTGTAGACCAGGCTGGCCTCAGATCCACCTGCCTCTGCCTTCCAAGTGCTGGGTTTAAAGGCGTGAACAAAAAGCCCGTAGCCATGCCTTTAATCCCAGCACTTGGGAGGCCTGTAAACCTAATATGAAAACCAGGTTGACCTCCAACTCACAAGAGATCCTCCTGCCTCTGCAACCTATGTCACCGCACTCAGCTCCACAAAATACTATTAAATCTGTTAAAATTAATGACAATGTTTTTTTTTTTTTTTTTTTTTTTTTTTTTTTTTTTTTTTTTTTTTTTTCTGTATATATTCTGTGACTGTTTTCTTTGTGGTCTGAATGGAGATTGGTTTGTGCTTCTTGAATTCAGAAGCAAAATTCCTGGGCTGGAGAGATGGCTCAGAGGTTAAGAGTACTGGCTGCCCTTCTAAAGGTCCTGAGTTCAGTTCCCAGCAACCACATGTGGCTCACACTTACAACCATTTATAATGAGATTTAGTGCCTCCTCCTGGCGTGCAGCTGATAGAACACTGTATAAATAATAAATAAATCTTTTAAAAAAGTACGATTCATGTTCTAGTATTGTACTTTATATATAATATATATTTAAGGTTAATGAGCTTTATATTTCAGTATTAAATGCTGTCAAATTAAATATAAATTTTTTGGTTGGTTGATTGTTTTTTTTTTTTTTTTTTTTTCAGACAGGGTTTCTCTTTTAATCGCCCTGCCTGTCCTGGAACTAACTTCCTTTGTAGACTAGGCTGGCCTCACAGAAATCTGTCTGCCTCTGCCTTCTGACTACTGGGATTAAAGGCATGCACAACCATATCCAGCCAGTGATATACTTCTAATTGCGTTTTTTGTTTTTTTGAGACAGGGGAGACAGGGTTTCTCTGTGTAGCCTTGGATGTCCTGGACTTCTTTGTAGACCAGGCTGGCCTCGAACTCACAGAGATCTATCTACCTCTGCCTCTCTGAGTGCTGGGATTACAGGTGTGCATCACCATGCCTGGCTCTAATTGTGGTTTTTCATGTCAGCCTCCAGAGCCCCCACAGGCAGGGGGCAGAGGCAGGTGGGATCTCTGAGTTTGAGGCCAGCCTGTTCTATAGAGAGAGAGTTCCAGGACAGCCAGGGCTACACAGAGAAACCCTGTCTTGAAAAAAAAAAAGAATGTTTGCAGGGAAGTCAAATGGCAATGACTTCAACCCTTGTTTATCTGGGGGTGAATTTCTGTTTTACGATTTAGCTGGTGGGACTTTTGCTTTGCTCTTTGTTTGAGACAGGCTCTCACTCTGCAGCACTGGTCAGCTCTGATTACAGGCATGTTCTGCTTCACCTTGATCAAACATGGGATTTTTTTTTTTCTTTTTTGATGATGGTCTTCTTTAGCACAGGATGAGCTTGAGCTCCTGATCTCTTTTCTTTGCCTGAAATGATGGCATGCCTCCCTTGTTCTGGAACTCACTGTGTAGACCACGCTCTGTTGACCACAAGAGATCCAAGCATGGATGCGGACCTCTCGGAGCCCAGTGTCTCCAAATACCTTTTATTTGAATACCTTATTAAGAATTCTGGCAGGTTAGGGGTGTGCTAACCGTGGAATTCTCTTAAGGTTTCTAATGTAACACGAGTGACTAATGTGCCTACATTAGAATTCTCTGAAGCCTGCTGCAGCCCCTTATCTGACAACGCGCAGGTTAATTTAAATGCATCGAATCATTACTACTTAGAATTGTCAGAAACAAAACTTCACATGCACAAAAACGACTCATTCCTATGCACAGATAATGAAACAGCGCTTAACAGTTAGGCGTGGCTAGGATTTGCTCAAATACAGATCTGGTGGGCTGGCTCAGCAGGTGGAGGTGCTTGCTGCCAAGTCTGGTGACCTGAGTTCAATCCCTGGGACCCACATGCAGGAGGAAAGACAGGTCTTTCTTTGACGACGAGGTTTCTCTGTTTAGCCCTGGCTGTCCTGGAACTCTTTGTAGACCAGCCTGGCCTTAGAACTCACAGAGGATGATCCTGAACTGATCCTCCTTTCTGTACAGCCTGACTGCTGGGATTAAAGGTGTGTGCCACCACACTCTGGCTGAGGTTTTCTATGCACACACACTTCTGTATGTGTCTCATGTATGTGCTTATGTATGTTAGTGCAGGCATGCATGAGGAGGTCAAAGGGCAATATTGCAGGTTAGTCCTGATCTTCCAGCTGTTTTGAAACAGGATGTAGAAGGAACTTTAATTCACCTGTTTCAGCTGCTGTTTCAGGGGCTTTACTGCCTCCTGCTAACCCAGGCCTGGAATGCTGTTAGCCTGTGAGATTTACTGTTGAATAAGCTCACCCTTTCTTATTCTTACTGAGCTCTGGACTGGCTGCTTCAACTCAGGTGTTCTGGCCCAAACTCCTTTCCCAGCTGATTTATTCAGTCTGGGTTTTCTCTCGGCCTCTGAATTGTTCTGCTTGGCCTCATCTTCTCTCATCTTCTGGTTCCTTCTCATTCACCAGTTCGTTGTCTTCACCCGTGTCTAGCTTGTTCTCGCTTTAACCTGTGTCTGTCAAACTCTCCCAGTAAAAACTGCCTGCCATGAACTCAGCTCTACTGCACTGCCTCTCAGCTCACTGACTCAACTGGACTGACTGCACAGAACGGACTAGAACTCAGATCTGTATGCCTTCATCTCCTGAGTGCTGGCATTAAGGGTGTGTATCATCACACCTGGACCAAGTTTTCTTCACCTTGCTCTGTACCAGGCTGGCCTTGAACTCATATCTGCTTGCCTGTCTTTTGGATTAAAGGCCTGTTTGTATTGCAGCCAGATCACACAGACCTAGAAGTCTTTGAGTGTGATCTCTTGCCAGAACAGCCATGTCCTGAATCAATGTCCCCTTTCTGTTTAAGCTAAAAATTGTACACAATTTTAACTTTTACCATAGAAACAATTATCAATCCCACAAACAGAATCCACTCAGCCACTGATGCGATGATCCTCCATAATTTCAGTCCTGATCATCTGTCCTGCAAAAGTCCGTTTCAGCAACAAGGTTTTCCAGTCTGAACTATCTGATCCTCTTCAGCTGGTTCATGAAGCTGTCTCCATTGAGGGGGGGGTAAGGGGGGGCAGTGTGTGTGAGTGTCTGCTGTCTGCCTCTCTTTCTTGAGTGGTGCCTTTCACCTGGAAACTTGTTGTGGTGAGCCATGGTCAGGTCATCACTGGCTTGTCCTGGGAGCCGAGAGGAGAAAGATGTGTGCTCAGAGCTTAGTAGCTGGGCAAAGGGGACCTTCTTTTTACATGACTCTTTCTTGTAGGATAATGAGACTCTGACGTCAGTGTCGAATGCAGCCGTGTCTTCTGGAAACGTTGAAGTTCACCAGCCAGCAGCCACTCAACATTTAACAGAGATGTTGAGGCCTCCTATGGTAGTTACTGAGGAATTCAGGCACAGTGAAGGTGAAGGGGAGTCACAGATCCTTTTGTCACCCCCTGAGCATGGTGTGATGTACCCCGCCCAGCTGACCCCTACGCCTTCCCAGATTTATTGTCAGACACCAATTGGGCAGGGGTCCCACACGGTGCCCATAGGAAGTCTGGGTCCTCTGGGAGTGGCCATATCCTTCAGTGAGAATCTGATGCCGTACGGTGGCCTTGCAGGCTCAGCTTCCTGTGGTGTCTCAGTGATGGCCCACAGCAGTGTCCAGACAGTGCCTTATTCTGTCCCCGCAGCAGTGCCTGCCACCACGGGCTCTTTAAAACATGGAATATTGTTGGTCCCAAGCATGCCTTCTACCGCGACCCACGCCGTGGGTCACGTGGTGCGCTCCTTAAATCCCTGCGACCTTGGGCTGCCCCCAGCTAGGCAGCAGCCATTGCTATCTTTAGAATCCCAGGACTCACTTGGGACCCCGTCAAATTTCCAAGAAGAGCCTGTCATATATGAGCAGCCCACACCTGCTTCACAGGAGAGAGAAGCCCCCAGTACTTCAGGAATAGCAGCCTGGAGACGGTCCTCCGTTTCAAGGCCTCATGTCTGCTCGTTCAACTGTGGAAAATCTTATACCAAGCGCTCTCACCTCGTGTGCCACGAACGCAAACACAGAGGTGAATGGAGTGTGGGGTGGAGAGAGGGATATAGGGAATCTTCATTCTTTCTAAAATATACCTAGATTTATTTTATTGTGTGAAGGGGTGCCCGGTCCCACACAGGCCAGAAGAAGGCTTGGATCCCCCGGAATTGGAATTTCAGATGGTTATGAGCCGCCACGTGTGGGTGCTGGAAATTGAACCTGGGTCCTCTGCAAGAGCAACAAGTGCTCTTAACTAAGCCACTCGCCCAGGCCATCTTTTTGCTTTAAGCAGGTTGGCTGATTCGTGGTTGCTTGGGATTAGCCCTCTCTCTTCCAAGGTTGGAACCAAGTCCTGCTGGCTCACTAGATCACCACCTCAGCTAGTGGCAGTGTCTCCCCACAGGCTCCTTTCTCCTTCGATTTCTCAACTTTGAACACTCTTGCCTCAGGGCTAGATCCCTTCCTTCCCACCTCGCTGCTTTTCCTACTTGAATTTCGCTCTTCCACTCTCCCCGCAGGTGTGAAGCCCTATGTATGTGACTGGGAAGGCTGCACGTGGTCTTTCTTCCGCTCCGACGAGCTTGGGCGCCATAGGCGGATCCACACCAGAGACCGGCCACATAGATGCGGGGAGTGTGGCCGACATTTCATGAGATCTGACCACCTCAAGCAGCACCAAAAAACTCATCGGCGTGGGCGGGACCTCCTGTGGCCTCCAGCCAACAATGGACAGACAGACGGACAAACAGATGGTGGTCCTCCTGAGCAGGGCCAGGGGCTTTAGCTTCCTTTCCTGGATTCTCTAACCCAAGACTCTTGCCCATGACTAGATCACCTCTGGGGTAGGCGAAGGTTCGGATGGAGACAGGAAGATCAGGAAATGGTGGGGAAACCCACAGGAGAAGCTCTGATGTCCTCACATCTCAGAGAGTGCTGACTTCTGCTGTTTAGCCAATGAGAGCAAGGAGCCTATCAGAGAGCTCTTATCTCCTGTCGACCCCAAGCAAGAAACTCTCTCATGCTTGCTCCGAGAAGCCCATGTTCTCTCCCTGCGCCTTCCGCAGTTTCCAGGGCCAGACCGTGGGACACATCTTTGAACACTGTGCTTTTTATGTCTTAGTGCAAGAACACACTAGACGGATCACACGCTCTTCATCAGATTCTCTCTGGCCTTCACCGTCCACATGCCCAGAGCTTCCATCTCCCCACCAGTCCTGGAAGGAATGCCCCCACTACAGGACATGGCATCTGGCATTCCATGGGGCCACCAAAAACAAGCCATGTGAGGAAACTACTATGAGTGGGAGATAGAGAGGCAGGCAGCAGCTCTCCTCTCCCCCACCCCCATGAACGGTTGCAAGATATCATATTTTTTTTTAACAGCACAGCCTGTGGGGAGAACTGCCAAGCAGCCAGCAGACCCACCCAGCTCTTCAGAGTTGGTCATGAAGTGATGCCCATCTTGGAACTGTGTTGCCTTGGGCCACGTCCCGTTGTTCATGCTCTGTTTAATGTTCTCCTTCCTGTGCCTCGGCTTTGAATGACCCAAATAAAAGCAGTGTTCAGGTTGCTTAGACAGTTTAGGGAACAGGAGGGCGATGCATTTTAAATTGTTTATTAGCTGGGTGCAGGGGCCTGTAAGTCCAGCTCTCAGAGGCAGAGGCAGGTGGATCGTTGTAAGTTCGAGGCCAGCCTGGTTTACAAAGTGAGTCCAGGATAGCCACAGCTATACAGGGAAACCCTGTCTTGAAACAACAACAACAACAACAAAAAATTGTGTATACATAGGTGGAGGTTAGGGACAACTTTTGAAAGTCAGTAGTCTGACTTTCAAAGTATTGATGCCCAGGACTGAACCCAGGCTGTCAGCCTTGGCAGCAAGCACCTCTCCCTCGTGATCCATCTTGTTGGCCTTTGTGTTTTCACTGTGTAGCCTAGGCTAACTAGCATCTGCCCGGGAAGTTCTGGAGTTACAGGGGTAAGCCACTCACCTGGCTTCGGGTTGCCTCTCCTGCCCTGTGGGACAGAGGGACAATAACTACCCTGGGGACTCATCCTGGTTGTCTAGAACCCCACTTCTGGATTCAGTTGGCCATTTTACTGAGCATGAAGCCAACAGAAAGGAGCTTGGTCTTCATTCATGCACCCCAGAGGAGTGCAAAGCTTTATTAAACTTAGAAAAGAAAGAAAGCTTGGCCAAGCTAACCATTGGCAGAGTCAGGATCCCCTCCATCCCCAAAGTGGGTCTCTTCCGTAAGAGCTGGTTCCTTCTATAGGTGTTCCAAAAGCTTAGACCCAGACGAGTGTGCAGAGTCAAAAAATGTTGAGTCCAGAAAAGCCATTCCATCATATGCTTAAGGGATCATGTTGGGCCTCCTAGGAGTAGTGGCTCCTGTCAGGTTTTCAAGAGTTGGGCCCACAAGCCTCCAAAACACAATTCTGTGAGGGCTGGTTGCAGCTAAAGGGTGTACCAGGAAGAAAAGACCTCAGACCAGTCTGAGTCAGACTGAAGGACTTAGCCACTGAAGAATTTGTTGTGATACATGAAAACCGTCTTTTACTGTTTGTTGACATTTTTGCCTGAATGTGGGTTCCAGAGGGCATGGATGGAGGTCAGGTGACAACTTGGCAGGAGTTTCCCTCCTGCCATCTAGGTCCTGGGAATAAAACTCAGGTCTTCAGGCTTGGCAGCAAGCATTTTCACAACCCACTGAACCATCTTGCAAGCCCATATTTAAAAAATAAAATAAAACGAAAGGTAGTAACATGGTCTTATGTAGTCCAAGCTGTCTCTCAACGCAGTGTCACCGAGGGTGACCTTTTACTTAAAGAGATTTAAGATTTATCTGTCACTCGAGTCAAATAATTCTTTATATGTTTTTTATATATGTTTTTAGAACCTCCAGAGATGTATGCAGTCTTGGTAAATCTGGAACTGTTACTGTCTTTATCATATATGAACCCACACCCTAAACAATACAGTGATTGGTTTTGGCTAATTTTACTATTTTTACTCTGTCTGAGGTCCAATAAATTTTAATACAAAGATTTCTCATCTTAATGCTTGGCCGCGTTTTTTGTCAGTTTCTCCCTGTGGTGTCTGAATGAGAATGGTGCCCACAGGCTCATGTGCTTGAATACTTGGTCCCCAGCTGGTGGAACTGTTTGGGAGGAATGAAGAGGTGTAACTTGGGCTGGGGGGGAGGGGGTGGCACATGCTTGTAATCCCAGCAGCCAGGGAGGTGCCCAGTGCAGCCATGTTTTGGAGAAATGGCTAGTGGAGAATCCTGGTGGGTTTTGAGGGTTTTTTTTGTTTTTGTTTTTTTGAGACAGGGTTTCTCTGTGTAACCCTGGCTGTCAGGAACTCTGTAGACCAGGCCAGCTTCGAATTTACAGAGATCATCCTGCCTCTGTCTCCTTGAGTGCTGGGATTAAAGGCTTAAAGGTGTGGGTCTCACACCCTGCTGAGGTGTTTAGCTTACATTTGTGAGGGATGGAAGAGAGAACCCAGGATCCCCACCCACCACCACAGGACTGAGCCTGAGGAGGAAGCTTGGAAGTCATTGAAGGAAATTTTCAGATTGAGAGACAGGAGTTCTAGAGAGCAGCGTAGGGGCATGGGAGAGAAGGACAGGAAAGGTGGTCAGGACCCGGACCCTGCACAGTTAGCATTCCCATTTTTTTTTTTTAAGATTTCATTTATTTATTTTATGCATTTATATTAGTGCTTTATCTGCATGTGCACCTGCATGCTAGAAGAGAGCAGTTAAGGATATAGATGGTTGTAAGCCACCATGTGGTTGCTGGGAATTGAACTCAGGACCTCTGGAAGGGCAGACAGTGCTCTTAACCATTGAGCCAGCTCTCCAGCCCCCACATTCCCATTTTTTAAAAAAGATTTATTATTTATACAGTCTTCTGCCTGCATGTGTGTCTGCATGCCAGGAGAGGGCATCAGGTCATATTACAGAAGGTTACCATGTGGGTGCTGGGAATTGAACTCAGGACCTTTGGAAGAACAGCCAGTGCTTTTAACCTTTGAGCCATCTCTCCACCCCCATCATTCTTATTCATTTCTCAGAAAACTCCTGTGTGTCCAGGGTGCCTGGGGATCTTGGTGTTGGGACCTCAGTGGTCACCTGAATCTTAGCCCCTGGGCTAATGCAGGAAGAGAGAGGAGTATAGCCTCACTCTGGCTGCCTTGTCAGAGAATTACAGATGGGAGGCTGTGAGCAGAGAGGAGCCTGGCGATGTCTGCACAGCCTTGCAGATTTGGAACAGTGTTTGTGATGGGCAACCTGAATGGAGGCGGGACTTGTCTCGACTTCTCTCGACTTCTCTGGGCCTGCATCAGGCAACTTCCCTGGTCCCACTGGGGTCTGGAGTTCCTCTGTAGGATACAGCCATGTTCCACAGATGGAAGATACAGGGATGCATGTCATCTGTGGCCTGGGTGGGTCCAGGAAAGGTAGGGAGGTTGGGAGAGACGTGTGTAAGCAGTTCTTGAGAAACAGGCATATCTATTCCAATCCTTCACACGCAGCAGGAAGCGATGCTCCTGGCTCCGTTGGCTCGTGTTTTTGAGAATGGGTCTTCTGTTATAAGAGGCTGACCTTAAGCTTGCTATGTTGCTGAGGATGACCTTGAACTCCTGATGCTTCTAGCTCTGCCACCTAGGGACTGGGATTTACAGGCCACCATAACTAGCCATAAATATCCCTCTCTTTCAGAGACCGGAGAAACAGCTCAGCAGTCAAGAGCACTTTTTAAAAAATGACTTATTCATTTTATTTTATGCACATTGGTGTTCTGTCTGAATGTGTGTGTGTGTGTGTGTGTGAGAGAGAGAGAGAGAGAGAGAGAGGGAGAGAGAAAGAGGGTCAGATGCCCTGAGGGTCAGATCCCCTGGAACTGGAGTTACAGACAGTTGTGAGCTGCCATGTGCGTGCTGGGAGTTGAACTGGGGTCACTTTGGAAGAGCAGCCAGTGCTCTTAACCGTGGAGCCATCTCTCCAGCCCTGTCAAGAGCACTTCTTATTCTTGCAGAGGAGCTGGGCTTTGTTCCCAGCACCTTACAAGAGAGCTTACAACCGTCCCTAACTCCGGCCCTGGGGGCTCTGGTGCACTCTTCTCGTCTCTGAAGGCACCAAGTACACACACACGACCGTGCACATACGTACATGCTTGAAGGTAAAACAGTCATACACAGAAAAATCTAAAAAAAAAATAAGACAATTTTCTCAAAGTCTTTTCTTTCACTTCCAGCCTCCACCCTCTTGTTTGGTTTTCTGTGCTGGGGATTGAACCCAGGCCTCACTCTACAGGAGTGTATAGAACTGAAGCTATATCTCTAGCCCTTCAGTTCTTATATGTCTGAAGAATTATACTTTTGCTTGTGGTAAGTGTTAAAAGAACCCGTGCTTCTGGCACGGTGACACACTTGGGAGGCAGAGCCAAGAGGAAGGGGAATTTGAGGTCATCCTCTGCTACATAGCCAGTTGAGGCTAGCCTGGGCTACATGAGAGAGACCCTGTCTCAAAAAATAAATATAAGAGCCAGGCACGGTAGTACATACCTATAATCCCAGCACGCCAGGAGGCAGAGGCAGGTGGATTTCTGTGAGTTGGAGGTCAGGCTGGTCTACGAAGTCCAGGACAGCCAAGGCTACAGAAAAACCAATAAAATATGAGGAAAACACCATAAAGGAGGTATGTGAGAGGCATGGTAAAAGAAAGGAGAACTCTAGGAATAACCATGTCCAATGTGAAAAGCTGGAGAAGGCCA